AGAGGACAATGCCATTGATGATCCAGATTTTCAATTTTCCCATGATGAGGAGGATTCAGAGGACGAGTCTGCAGGTGTCCCTTCTTCAGATGAAAACCAAGAAATGCAACAATCGTCATCCACAGAGGGGACATGGACATCTAAAGATGGTAAAATAAAATGGTCAACATCACCACACCAAAGCCAAGGTAGATTGTCATCTTGTAATGTCATCAAAATGATTCCTGGTCCTACAAGATTTGCTGTCACAAGAGTTGATGATATTGAATCAGCATTTCAGCTCTTCATATCCCCACCCATAGAGAAGATAATCCTCAACATGACCAACTTGGAGGGGAAGCGTGTCTTTCAAGAGAAATGGAAGCCACTGGATCCGACTGACTTGCATGCTTACATTGGAATCCTGGTGTTAGCTGGCGTATACAGGTCAAAGGGTGAAGCAACTGCAAGTTTATGGAATGAAGAGAATGGAAGGCCAATCTTCCGAGCAACAATGTCTTTGGAGACATTTCACATGATCTCTCGTGTGATCCGATTTGACAACCGTGACACCAGAGCTGATCGACGTGAGAGAGACAAACTTGCAGCAATCAGAGATGTCTGGAATAAATGGGTCGAAATCCTGCCTTTATTGTATAATCCTGGCCCCCATGTTACTGTCGATGAGCGCCTCGTTCCATTCAGAGGACGCTGTCCATTCCGACAGTATATGCCAAACAAGCCTGCGAAATATGGCATCAAAATGTGGGCAGCCTGTGATGCAAAATCCAGTTATGTTTGGAACCTGCAAGTATATACTGGAAAGCCACCTGGAGGAAGACCTGAGAAGAATCAGGGAATGCGTGTGGTTTTGGAGATGACTGAAGGGCTGCAAGGTCATAACATTACATGTGACAACTTCTTTACATCCTACCGTCTTGGAGATGAACTTCAGAAGAGAAAGCTGACTATGTTGGGAACAGTCAGAAAAAATAAGCCAGAACTTCCCAGTGAGATTCTGAAGATGCAAGGAAGACCTCTGCATTCCTCAAAATTTGCTTTCACAGAGAAAACAACACTTGTTTCTTACTGCCCAAAAAGAAACAAGAATGTTCTTGTGATGAGCACAATGCACAAAGACGCATCTCTGAGCACACGAGAGGACATGAAACCGCAAATGATTCTGGATTACAACTCCACAAAAGGGGGAGTTGACAATCTTGACAAAGTCACAGCAACATATAGTTGTCAGCGCAAGACTGCCCGTTGGCCTTTGGTGGTTTTCTACAACATTTTGGATGTGTCTGCTTACAATGCCTATGTGCTGTGGATTGAGATCAACCAGCAGTGGAATGCCAGCAAACTGTACCGACGTCGACTTTTCCTGGAAGAACTAGGCAAAGCACTCGTCACTCCAAAGATCCAGAACCGGGTCAGGCCAGCTAGATCCCCAGCAGCTGCTGCTGTCATCGCAAAGGTCCAGGGCAGGGCATCTGACCAACCCACAATGGATCCTTTGGATACAGGTACAAAGAAACGCAAAAGATGCCAAGTCTGTCCCTCTCGAGATGACAGTAAAACAACTACCTCTTGTGTGAGATGCAAGAAATACATCTGCAAAAAGCACATAGTCACATTCTGTCCATCATGTGGGGAACGCTGAAAATGTTGACTGTCAAAAACCCGAGAAAATGCGGCAAGTTAAATGCAAAAAAAAAAAGGGTTCGTGAAGAGGGAAAAATTGAAATCAGGAGTTCTTTAATATAGTGTTGGAAGTGTATATCTCTACTTCTCATCTCTTCTAAATATTTGTATAATCTAAAATAAAGTTCTTATTGGTTTAACTTCATTTTATGACTGTTTTGAGTGGATTTACACAATGCGGGTCAAAATGACCCGCAACATAATAAACGTATTTTTTTCTCAACATAATACAAGTTAAAGTTTGACAGGGGGCGCCAGAGATCTAAACAAGAGTTCAGCACTTGTGGGGCTTTTGTAGTTTTAACACTTTTATGATCTTGACAATGTGCCAATTTTTTATTCTAAGATTTTAGATGTTAATTTAGTATAAATTTAGTTTTAATTCTAATGAATATTTTTCTGGATGCTGGACTCTGCATGTTCTCAATGTGTCTGTAGGTTTTTAGATACTCGAGGTTTATTTCTTTAAAGTCTATCATATCAAATTTAATTGTGGTTTAAAATTGATGAGTGTGAACTGGCATGACTCTTTCTTCGATGGACTCGTAATCCGTCTGGGATTTTCTCCACCACCTGATAATGGCATAAAAAAAACTACAGGCCCGTTACAAACCAAAACCTGATAAAGCTAAAATAAAACAAAAGTAATGAATAAGTAAGTGATCTTTTAAATCAAACTTTGAACTTAAACCAGGTGTACTTTTTAATTTCTGGGTTAGTACCTCAATTTAAAAAAATTAATGAAGAGAAATGAAGTTTAATATTGCTAAAACTACAAAAAACAAAACGACAATTCACCTTTTGTGTGTTTATGAAAGCTTGATAATTGTAGTTTATAAACACAAGCATGAATTTTACTGTTTTTATCATTTACAGCATGTTGGAGTTAGGGATTGTAGCTTTTGGTATGTAATCCATTGATGTGTTTGAAATTCCATCTCTGAACATAATTTATTAATGCATACATAAATAATTTATTCTTTTTTTGAAAAACATAAAAATAGAGGAGGATGACACTCATCTATAAAGAAATATAAACCAACAATCAGGAATTGTATCTTTTTAAAGGGCACTTCAGAGGAGTGCAGTTATAATACAAACCTCCCAGGTGAACTCTGTTAGCTTTTACTTTAAGGTCCCAGTCTTGAGCTTACAGCCCCCAGCAGCAGAATGTAAAGGCTCGGGGCATTCACTGGATTGGTACCACCGTTTGCAGGTAAGTTCAGTAAAGCAGTTGCACTTCCAGTAGCAGGTAAATCACTTCCAGTAAGGGTATTCTCAGTGGCACTTTTTATTGTAGTCTCCACCATGCCTTCAGTGTTTCCCTTTGCTTTTCCTCCATACGGAGCTCCATCTTTGGGCGATTGCTGATCAGAGACTTCCCCATCATCTGTCTTGTACCACTGACATTGGAAGTCTTTTTTCCAGATCTCAGCTGGGTCTGGTTCTGCTGTTTTACTGACTGTGTCTGGCTGAGCTGTGGCCTTGACCTGACGGGGAAAACAGAAAATAATAATTATATTAGCAAACACTGATGCATTCATGTAACATTTTATAGTGCCAGTGCAGTTTGGTGATAAGATTAAAAAAAGAAAAACTGAAGTTTTTTTTGCTGCACTTAAAGCAGTTACATTTTATTTTTGAGTTTTTCTTCCATTTCTAATTTTTCTTTCAGATTTTGTGAAAAGTAATAGGATATATGTTCCTATATTCTGGTTTATCTTTCAATGCATGAACACAAATTGTATAAATCAATCGTTGGACATTATAAAAGAGGTAGATCAGCTGGTAATGTATGTTTGTAACTTACTCTAGGAGTGCGGATCATGCTTATTTAGGCATTTATTGATGAGTGGAATGTAATGCATAAGCCGGGGCTATAGATCCAGCTCTGTTAATCTAAATCAATTTAAATTTCCCCGTCCTCACTATTTCTGTCACCTTCTGTACTGCCGTAGATTGGGGTGGGAGATGGAGATAAGCAGAGCTGTCTGGATTTTGACGAACACATCGACCCTTTCCCTGGCAAAGAGAGGTTGAGCAGAGCTGAGTTGCCTTGGTAACGTTGACGGAGTAAGGTCCCAGGACTTTACGGACAAACTCTGCCAGGCCTTGGCATTCTCTCTGGAAACGGACAATTTGACATCAGCTGTGCTTCATTTATTAAGATAGATTCATTTTTTTCTAAAGCCAACATTCTTCTCAGATACATTTATAATGAATATGAGCAGGCACCGAAAAGTCATCTTTTCATTTAGAGCTCATTTGGATGAAGTGAGGATGGCCCGGAAGAGTGGAATCAGATGCAGGTTCTAGTTTGATTACTTTGGGCCCAACAGGCAACAAATGAGTTTGACAAATTAATGGTGAGACAGTTGCGCTGTGTGCAGGGTTGCCAGATAAGCAATGATGAACTATTGTACTGTTGCTTTAAAATTATTATATTTTGACCCAAACTGTCACATGTGCTGAGTGAAGGTGTTGTAAGATGAGACACGTGTTGTGTTTGTTGAATGTGCACAGAATAGAGAAAAGGAGGGTGTAAAAATGTAAATCTGGCAACCCTGGTGTGTGCCTGTAGTCCTGCATCAAAGTCACACAGACAGTTTACATTGGGTCAGTGTGCAACATACAGTACTCCATATGGGGACAACATTTCTTTTTATGTACTGACAGGGCTGTGAACAGATGAAATTCTGAAACCACCAACAACATGACTACACAGAGGTATGTGCATGCATGAGATTAATGTAGGTACCTCTGTCTTTGTCTCACTTCTGTCCAAGATCACAACGCCTGCTGTTCCCATGGCAGCACTTTCTCCTATCGTGTTGACCAGGTCACCCTTTGAATAACAAAAGACAACAGCATGCCAGGGAGGGAAGGGAACCAGTTCAGCACACTTTCAAAAGTTTCCAGTAACTCACATCTACAAAGGACTGACAGCGTTGAAAATCTGAATAGATTAAAAACATATCTAATTTGAATCCTTTTTGTTGTTTACTGACTCACCCAGATGTGTTAAGTGTAATTTCTTACCTGTGATAAGAACGTCCTTGTTGAGGCATACACACTCTTTACTAAAGGAAATACTGGCAGACCAAACTCTGCTCCAGCCAGAGATCCTACTCTTAGTGCTTCTTTTATTTGACCTGATAAATAGATCCTCACTCCAAGAGTCCCAGCCTATAAAAAAAGAGTAACAAAGGTCATTTGACCTGAAAATGAAGATACTTTGCAGTACTTTATAAAAAGCAATAAATAATAGTAGCGTGGGGCAGTTGGTAGTGTTGCCTCTCAGCGAGAAGGTTGCTAGATCAAATCCTGGCCGAGGGCCTATCTGGGTGGAGTTTGCATGTTCTCTCCGTGCATGCGTGGTTTTTTTCCCGGGTACTCCGGTTTCCTCCCACAGACCAAAAACATGTATGTTAGGCTGATTAGTAACTCTAAATTGTCCCTAGGTGTGAGTGAGAGAGTGAATGGTTGTTTGTCTCGTTTGTCTCTATGTGTCCCTGTGATGTGACTGGAGACCTGTCCAGGGTGTCCCCCACTTCTCGCACAGTGACCTCCACAAAAAGGAAGAAGCAGGTAAATGATAATGGGTGGATGGATGGAATAAATCACTGTGTTGAGTTTTGTTCAATAAAGATCCTTTTATAGCTTAGTGTTCACTAACCATGAGTGTATAATTGTCACAACAAATACTGAACGAAATAAAAACACACCTGTAACTTTTCCAGGGTCAGGAGGGGGTAGAGAGCCGAGCTTCGTTTCCATAGCCACATAAGCTCATCATTAAGGGCCATCTCTGCAGGAGGGCACTGGCCACTGTAATTGGTTAATGGCGTTTGAGTGGGATCACCGTTGCAACAGCTGGGGTAAGAGGAAAACCCCCACAATGCTTTGGGCCTCAACCTTTTGACCTCCCGTAGAGTCTCCACCATGACTGACTGGGCTGCAGCCTCAAAGTCCACCTGTGTTGAGACAAGTGGATCTTTCAGTCCTCCCCAAACATTTGGTTGTATTTATTATTATTATTATTATTATTATTATTATTATTATTATTATTATTATTGTTATTGTTATTATTATTAATAATAATAAAAGAGCTTGTGATTTTTAGTCATTTAAAATGTGAACTCTTGAATACTAAATCATATTTAACATTTATCACAATGCAAAAGTCTTGAGCTATTTCTCATTTTTATACTTTACGTACAAGCAACCAGACTTTCTTGTAATCTTTCGAAGTGGATTTAATTAATAGTTCTTCAGGCCTTCTGAAAGTCTTTCAAAGTATTTTTTATTTTTAAGTTTTGGTTGCTGTTTCACTCATTTTCAGCCCAGTACATCATTGTCCCCCTTCACAAAATGAAAAGAGGGAATTGAAAATACCCTCTGTCCATTCGTTCATCTCGTGAGCATGATTACTTGAAGTTTGGAATCTCACTTAATTTTCATTTCGGTGTGTGGCTACATCCAGGCATGAGAAAGGTTCCTTTCAAAAAATGGGCTGCCATATCAAAATACAAAATGGCTGCCACCATAAATGTATGTCCATGATGTCAGCATGATAACTTGAAAAATAAGTGATGTACCGACTTCCATTTTAGTGTGGCTACATAAAAGCACAAGAAAGATCTATATCAGAAATTGGGTTGCCACGTCAAAATCCATGATGGCCACTGCCATATAAATATGTAAACTGGGCACCACTACCACTTGAGGAAACCATGCTTTCTAGTTTACTGCTCAAAAGTAGTTTCCTCAAATGGGGTGGCCCTTAGAGTGACTGAAGATGAATTTATGGGGGTCAAGGTCACCACTGGCCAGCCCCTGGCTCTGTTATTGAAAATGGTTGTGTAATAAATTGGTCCCTTGCCAGGATCTGTCACTCTGCGCTGCCTGGGACAAGAAAAAAAACCAAAACACTTCTTACACATAGTGTAAGTCCTACCCACTTGAATACTTTGCACTTGCATTAAGGTTTACTTGCATTCTGATACAAGGACTGGACAGAAAATGAGTGTAAAACAGCCAAAGTAAAGAGAAAAATAAACATTTTGAAAGACATTTAGGAAGGCTGAAAAACTACTAACTACTTTATTACTAAAAAAACAACATTTTTTTAAACCCTCCTGCTGCTCGTAAGTGAAAAGAAGCACACAGTTTAAACTGAGGCCTCTGGGGTCATTTTTGACCTGAGGTCAGCAGAAGGGTTAAATGTTACAAGAAGGTCTAACTCTGACAAAGCAAAATGAAATAAAAAAGGTGGTTAAAAACTTATGCTCAGTACTGGATGTGTCAAAACAAACAACCAGTGACTAAGAAAAAAATACCTTAAAAATGAGTAATAAGAAAATACCACAAATCTAAATTTTAGCAAATGACAATAAAGTAACAGCTTTGCTTTCTTCCAGCCTGCGTGTTTACAAAGTATACAATGTTTAGCCGTGACTAACAGTTCTCTGTCCATCATCTTTCTTTGTCTTTGTTATTCACTCACTCTTGAGTTTTTCATACCATTTGTCTATCTTTTCCTTAAACACCTACAGTATGTTGTTCTGTTCTTGTTTATCCCCCTTTGTTTTATTATTCATTTTTTTCATTACTTTTAAGATTATATTTTGAATTACTTCTTTATTTGAACGTTTCTTACCCGTGACCACTTCTCCACTTCTTCTGGAGTCCAGTTTGGGAAAAAAGTCTTCATCAGTTTCCTTGATGCCTCCTGGTACATTGCTTGTTTCTCTTGGTTCCTGGACCACTGGGGTACCCACTCTGCCCAGCGCAGCACCCCCAGTCCAAGATACCTAGGGGCTGGTAAAGCTGCTTCCAAGTCTTGCTGTGTCTTCTGGACATGGCTGTCCAAGCGTGTGTGCTGTGGAAGCCCTCTATTAACTGGTGTGTTTTTGTCTACAAAGTACGGATAGTTACCCAATGTATTTTCATAAAACACAGCTACTCTCCCCTCACGTTCCATACTGAAAGAGGTGGGATTTATTCTGTCAGCGCAGGAAGAGTCTCTGATGCCCCAGAAGATAATAAAAGGTTGTCCAGATAGGAGAGGTGGACGGGCAGGTTGAGATGGGCCAGCATTACAAAGCCCAGCAAAGGCACCAATCAAGTAGAGGAGGACTGATGATGATGATGAGCAGATCAGCCGACGGCTGCGTCTCAGTTTTGGTTGAGGTTGTGGATCTGGACAGAACGGCAGTTCAGCCCACTCCATTGAAGTAGCTCAGCTGTTCAGGCCGTCATCTCCAACCATCTTGCTGAAAAAACACAGCAGAAGTCAAACAGTCAAGTCTGTAAAATGCGTGATATACACTATTTAATCAACAAAGTCACAAGTGATTACCGTAGTAATCAGGTTGCAACAACGAGAGCTATTATATTGTTTCCCCATGTTCTTTGTTTGTTAGGATGAACAAATCACTAAAAAATTGAATAACTGTTTAGCAAAAAGACAAGGACATCTACAAATATCAAAAAGACACATTTGAGGCAACTTTCTTCTAGACCTGCTGTGTACAGGGAACTAAATATGTTGCAGTTTTTGCTTGCTGTACGATTTAGCTCTTCAGAGCAGCACACAGGAAATATGTTTCTTTACAAGAAAGTGCCATTTTTGACAGAATGCATATCCCTCATTGTCTTGCATGCCAAAATTTTGTGCAAAGCTCTCGTGCGATCTGTTAGTGCTCAGAGTAAGTGTCGGAGGCGATTCTCAGCAACTACTGCACAATATTGACAGATAGTGAATGTACTTATACAACAGTTTTAGGGTGTGGACTGCATCACTGGTGACCAGGAAGCTGAATACAAAGGTGTGGTGGACAGCTTTGCGGAGTGGTGTGGACAGAACCACCTGCAACTCAACATTGGAAAAACTAAAGAGCTGCAGGTGGACTACAGGAAGAAGACCAACCACCCCCAACCCTATCAACATAAAGGGTGGACACTGTGGACTGCTACCAGTACCTAGAGGTCCACTTGGACAATAAACTACAAGAAAAGGCAGAGTCGCCTTTTTCTTCTGAGGAGACTCAGGTCCTTTAACATCTGCAGGACCATGCTGCAGATGTTTTACCACTCGATGGTCTCCAACATCTTCTTCTATGCTTTGCGCTGGGGCAGCAGGTTGAAGAAAGCTGATGCCAACAGACTCGATAAACTCATTAAGAGAGCTGGCTCAGTTCTGGGAGTGGACCTGCAGACTCTGACAGAGGTGTCTGAGCAGAGGATGCTGAGGAAACTGCTCCAGATCCTGAACAACACGTCACACCCCCTGCATGACACAATGGACTCTTACCACTCATGTGTGCTGTGTATGGTTGCACTTTCTTACTTAGTGTACAAGCGTTTTTTTTTTTTTATGCACAGAAATGCAATAACTCTGATGTATTTAGGCTTTTAAAAACTATTTATTGTATAGTGTATAAGATAAGATAAGATAAGATAAGATAGAACTTTATTGAACCCGCAGGAAATTGTTGTGCCAGAGTTTCAGTACAAAGGAACATACACAAGGAATCACACAAGATATATATATATATATAAAAAAAAATAACATAGAATATAAAAATACTAACAAAGTTCTAAACAGGTGCAGACAGAAACATTAAAGTGTTTATTGTGGTGCAGGATTAATTTTATTGCCTTATGTGTAGAAAGGGGGAGGAGTTGAAAAGTTTGATAGCCACAGGGAGGAAGGACTTCCTGTGTTGTTCGTGGAGCACCTCGGTGGTCTAGGTCTACGGCTGAAGGTGCTGTGGTTAGAGCAGTCGTCAATGCAAGAGTTGTGGGTTCGAATCCACCAGCAGTCACATGCCGAAGTGTCCCTGGGCAAGACACTGAACCCCTCATTGTTTCCAATGTGTGTCCCATCAATGTATGAATGTGATAAAGCTCTGATTAGTCTCTTTAGAATGATTTTTTTTTTCAATTAGCTTTTGTAGAGATCTAGTAGAGTGCTTTATGAATGGGTAAATGAGGACACAGATTGTAGTGTAAAGTGCTTTGAGTGTCTTGATAAGATAGAAAAGCGCTATATAAGTACAGTCCATTTACATATGATAGGTTGAGCCAAAATACTATTATTTTAAAGCAGCAGTTTTATATTTTTTGTCGTTTCCTGTTTGACAACCCTGCTACTACATCAAGTTGTAGCTAAATATCTGTAAAACTAAGTTGGAGATATTTTCGTTTTCTAGAGTCAATTAGCTATGGCAGCCATCTTGAACTGGATTGACTCCAAATGATAAATAGGGTAGAAAAAAATTCAGTGAATACGTTCTGAAAGTTTTCTTAAAATTTGTCCAATATCTTTAGATATTTTGCTACTAGGCAAACAAATAAACACATGCGCGCACATACATTTACACACGGTATGAATGCCTGTCTTTTCATGCGATATCTAAATTTTTTTTGTAGGGTATTCAAACCTGCTGACTTGTACATGTTTTGTGTAAGACACACACACACATTTGGACTGCAGAGTTTGCAGCTGGTTTGTGCAAAATACACAAACCTGCTGACATTTTGTGAGTTGGATCATCTAAAGTGTAAGAGACCTAATAAGTTTTTGAAGGAGGAGGAAAATAGCATGAGCTGTGACCATGCTGGTTTGTTTCTTGCTTTTGCTCACTTGTGAAAAAAAGTGATGCACGTTGTCATGCTGCAGCCTTCTGAATATTGTCTCCAAGGTCTTGCTCATTACTCAGTCCGTGTTTTCTGATAGCAAAACAGAACTTATGTTCTTTTCAGCATGGTAACATTTTATTTTATAAATGAGAAGGTGGAATCATCTTGTAAATTTAATGTGTCCACTCTTTGCAATACTGGATAATCTTGAAAATTCACGTAGAAAATGCTTTAAAGTGCTAAAACTCTCTGTTTATGGTACAGCTCTGTGAGTTTATCCTCCTTTTGAGTTTACATTTGAAACTTGTCTCAAATTCAGAAACCTTGGGAAATCTTAATGCCACTTCTGTCAGTAAAAGACACACATGGCGAGATATAACTAGAGCCTTTTTTAAATCATGTAATTGTTTGCAGTTTTGCTAATTGGTGACAAAAAAAAAAAGTCAAAGTTTTATGCTTTTCAGCTTTTTCTCTTTCACTGAGATATTTTCACACATTTTTCAGAGAAAAGTTTAACAGTTGCTTGTTAGCCGTTGCAGTTCTCCTCGGGAACCTGTTCTCTAACAAGCCATTAAAAAGGGAAATGTCCCGCTGTGTTAGACGTGACTGGAGGAGGCATCGTATCTATAATTTTAAATGCCATGGATTCGTCGAACATGCAGGACAATATGCTACTTGTTAACAAACACACGAAGGGAACATCAGCGTTTTCTGCCTCATATACTGTACACTTGTGCACGTCTGCTGCAGGTATTTTTGTGTTTGGATAGTTTAACACACACAAAAAAAATTATGATGGTTTAACAACACAGCATGAAAACATAAAACCCACCAGTATTGTGAGATTTATTAAATGTAATGAGTAAACAGATTTCTTAAATATCACAGTGATGATTTCAAAGCTCTTGATTTAATTAAATCACATTAACAGTTTTTTTCTGTGTTCACATCTTCAGTCATTTAGAGGTAATAAAAATTAATTTTTAAGTAAAATAGCTTCAGAGAAGAATCACTTTAATTCACAGTTGCCTGTGAATTGTGTGTAATCTTGTGAATTGAAAGTTTCTAGCAGATTTAAGCAGGCGAGATTTAAAACTTGTGCATGCATTTTTTATTTATAAAGTTTATTATTTTTTTTAAAACAAAACAATTCTGTATACAATAAGAAATACAATCACAAATAAAATGAAAGGCAGCAGAAAGAAGATTTTTTTTTTTAATATCTGCCCCTTTTTCCAAAAAAATAATTCAAACAATAATAATCTTCAAATAAAACAAAATAAATAACTCCTTCTCGAGCAACAATTCGTACAAATACACATTAAGCTATTTCATATTTTTTAACAAACCAACTTTGATCATTCTCTTAAACATACACACTGATCTGGCGTTTTTAACATCACTCTCCAGATTATTCCATAATCTAATTCCTTGGATTGAAGTAGACCGTCCCTTCAAACTAGTTCTAAATTTGGGTTTCACAAATATTTCCTTCCCCTTAAGATTATAATAAATTACTCTTTTAACAAAATTATATTGGATATTTAAAGGTAATGTGTTATTATGAGCCCTATACATAACTGATAAAATATTATAATCTACCAAATCATGGAACTCCAATAACTTCAGTTGATAAAATAAAGTACTTGATGGGTGACTGAAATGCTTTCTAGTAATAATTCTTACAACTCTTTTCTGTAAAACAAAAATAGGATTTGTAATTGTTTTACATACTTTCCCCCAAACATCAATACAATGTCAGTTTTCATTTTGAAAGCATTACCCAGTCTGAGCACAGATGTTCCTGGAAACTATTCCAGCTGCTTGGTTAGGCTAGGAACATCTGTGCTCAGTATAGACTGGCGGTTTCCCATTTAAAATGGGAGACTCCACCAGTGGTCATGAAGAATGGCCGGCCTAATGTGTGTGTGCTTTAAAGTGCAGGTGGGACTGCATCATGGATCAACTCTGTGCCCCTTCTTGTTTTCTCTGGTGACAGACAGACTAACAGGAACCCTGTGGACAGCAATGTTTGCAGATGACATTGTGCAACAGGGAATAAGTGGAAGATAATTTAAAGAGGTGGAGGTATGCACTTGAAAGAAGAGGAACTATAGTCAGCTGTTGCAAGACAGAGTCCAGGAGTGTGAATGAGAAAGAGGCAGGTGGAACAATGAAGCTACAAGGAGCAGAGGTCACAAAGGTGCAGGACTTCAAGTACTTAGGGTCCTGATCCACTCTTATATGGAGTGTGGTGAAGAGGTCAAGAAGAGAGTCCAGACAGGATTGTGTGGACGGAGAAAGGTTTCAGGTGCTATTTGTGACAAAGGGGTGGCAGCAAACGTAAAAAGAAAAAAGTACAAAAGACTAATATGAACAGTGGCATTAACAAAAAGACAGGTGAAATAACTGGAAGTAGAAGAGCTGAAGATGTTGAGGTTCTCCTTAGGAGTGCCAAGGATGGAGAAAATTAGGAGTGAGATCATCAGATGTACAGCATAGTAGAGACCAGACTGAGACGGTTTGGACATGTCCAGAGGAGGGACAGTGGCTGTGGTGTAGTCTACACCTTTGTAGTGGGTATACTGTGCTTAGAAACCAAAGTACATTGGTTAGTACAATGCAATCG